ATTTTCACATGACTTAGTCTCAGATTCAGATTCTTGTTGAGTTATTTCAAAGTCATTTTTGATTTTCAAATTTATTTCTTTTTGCTCAACAAGTTCTGTTTTCAGAAGATCAATCTCAGATTCAAGATTGCTTTTCAGCTTCTTGTATTTGAGTTTGATGTTGTTATAACATTTAAGAACTTCTGTTAAAACTTTAATGAGTTCTTCTTTGGTAAGTTTAGCCATTACCTCTTCTGCATCATCATCAGATTCAGATTCAGATTCATATCCTGAGGTACCTTCCTCTTGATCCTCTGTCCTGGCCATCAGTGCAACGTTTGCACATTCTTCTTCTGATTCAGAAGATGACTCACACTCATCTGAGTCATCCCATGTTGCCATCAGAACCTTCTTCTTTTTGTTAAACTTCTTCTTAGGTTTTTCTTTCAGAAGTTTGGGGCAATCATTCTTGTAGTGCCCAGGTTCTTTGCACTCATAGCACACAACTTCTTTCTTGGCAGATCTTCTGTGACTAGAAGATTCCTTTCTGTTGTCAGATCTTCTGAAGTTGTTGAACTTCTTCCCTTTGTGCTTCCAGAGTTTGTTAATCCTTCTGGACAGCATGGATAACTCATCTTCTTCTTCAGAAGAAGATTCTTCAAAGCTTTCTTGAATGACCTGCAAAGATTTAGCAGTTTTGTTAGATTTTAATGCTACAGATTTACCTTTATCTTTCTTCTGAGGTTCATCTTCCTCAAGCTCAATCTCATGGATCCTCAGTGAGCTGATGAGTTCTTCTAGAGAGATCTTGTTCAGATCTTTGGCCATCTTCAGGGCAGTCACCATTGGTCTCCATCTGATAGGCAGACTTCTGATGATTTTCTTTACATGATCTGACGTGGAATATCCCTTGTCCAGAACTTTCAGCCCAGCAGTGAGTATCTAGAATCTGGAGAACATGGCTTCAACAGATTCAGAGTCTTCCATTTTGAAAGCCTCATACTTCTGGATCAGAGCCAGAGCTTTTGTCTCCTTAACTTGAGAATTTCCCTCATGAGTCATTTTAAGGGATTCAAACATATCAAAAGCAGTCTCCCTGTTTGTAATTTTCTCATACTCTGTATGTGAGATAGCATTCAGTAATATAGTTCTGGCTTTATGGTGATTTCTGAAGTCTTTCTTCTGAGCATCTGTCATAGATTTTTTGTCAATCTTTTTGCCATCCTCATCTGTAGGATGTACATATCCATCTATGACAAGATCCCATAGATCAGCATCATATCCTAGGAAAAAACTCTCAATTCTGTCTTTCCAGTAGTCAAATTTCTCCCCATCAAACATAGGGGGTTTGGTGCTGATCCTATCCCTCTCTTCATATTTATTGTTAATATTTGACATTGAATTATCAGCCATGATAACAAATAAATATAAATATCAAAGTATATCTCTCTGGATCTTTACTGACACTGTTAAGTGGTAGCACACACAGAACCGGAGCTCTGATGCCAACTGAAGGTGAGATAATACTTAGAAGGGGGGGTTGAATAAGTATGATAAATTAAGACTTAAAAAATAATCACACAATTATTTTTATCCTGGTTCGTTTAACAACTACTCCAGTCCACCCTTCCTAGAGTGATTTGCCTTTCTCAACAAGGACTTAATCCACTATTAAATCAAACTGATTACAATAGTATCACCTAAGAACAACAGTTCTTAGTCTTCTCAAGAGCTACTGATTCTAACTGAATCCTCTTAAGGAATATCCTTTACAATCAATGTAAAATAATTACAAGAGTATTAATGCTTCTAAAAAGCTTTTTATCACAACAGTGATTTTTCTCTTAAGTTTAAGTACAATAAGATTCTAAGAAGAATAAGAATGAAAGCTTAAGAATATATTGATTTCTTTTCAGCAAAGTGTATTGTCAAGCGTCACTGAAGAGTATGGTGAAGTTCTCCTTTTATAGGCAGCTGATCCAAGGATGCTGAACGTTGGAAAGGGAGTCCCAAAAAGGTTTGAGCCTTTTGTCTTCACATCAAGTGACCTTTATGGCACAGATAAATCCTTTTTGTCTGTGTAAGTGTGTCTAGCACAAATAAGGAAAGAGACGTTGAATAACTCCAACGGATATATTCTTGAAAATATTTCTTCAGTTTTCAGCAAGTTCTTCAGAGTCTGACTGGATCAGAGTCTTCTAATGAGATTCAGAACTATGTTGTATCAGAGTCTTCTGCAGCATGTGTGCTTTCAGCGTGTTTATCATCAGAGCATTTTTGACACAGAACTTCAGTACTTGGCAGCGTAGGTACTTTCAGAAACTTCTGTAGACTAATGCTTTGAGAAACTCTTCAATCAATATTCTTCTATACTTCAGATGCTTCTGATTATCTTCAGATGCTTCTGACTCAGAATGTTCTGGAGCTTCTTGCTTCAGATCCTTCTGGAGACTACGCTCAGGATCTTCTGTAAAGAGAAAACAGATTCTTCTGTAAGGTGCATCTGGCGCTTCAGAGTCAGAATAACTTCTTGTATTCAAGGCTTCTTGTATTCAAGGCAGATTTGCTTCTAGAGAGTTAATATAATTTCAATCTGCAGTAAAACTCTCAAACAAATTTTAGAGTATATAATTCTTAAATATAAATTTCCTAACAGTTATCATCAAAACAAAGAGTTATTATTAAGAACCAATCTGTGTTCTAACACTTAGGTCTCCCTTTACCTTTTCACTCTTTAGCAGACAAAATAAAAAATAACACAATAAAACAAGAGGTTCCTGTAGAGTACTAGAGATACTTAGGATGCTAGCACATTCTCAAGGTATAACCAACCCCCGAACCTTAGATTCTCTTTTGCTTTGTTTTGCATTGCATATTTTGAGTTATTCGTTCTTTTTCCCTTCCATTGGATAAATTAAAGATCGGTGGTGAATTTTGATTTGTGATTCAAGTTAATTTAATAGTTTGATATATGATTCTCACTGCGATAGTATACATTGGAATCAAAACTTTCAGAACTCTTCTAATTAGATTGGTTTGAACAACGCCAAGAATTCATTGTTGATGGTTACTTCAATTTCCACGACCAATTTCAGTAGAGACCTCTGCCAAATGAGGAACCCTAAATCGATTTGACAAAAAACCTAACAGGAAAGGGAGGAAGAAGATGAAACATCATGATGGAACGAAGAAGATGACCTATCAAAGTCATGTCAGCTGTCACGCATACATAAACAAATGTCGTCTAAGCCAAATGGACGGAAAGGACTTTTATAGCGAGTTGGTATCTGTTCCATTTTCTAATTAATCCAGTTCCCCGATTCAATTTACCGATGATTGACACGTGTTGCATAACATTTTAACGCCTAAGATTAATACTAAAATCATTTTTTTAATTTTTAATTTATTGAGACTGTGTGTGTGTTTCATTCTCTCTTTCTCGTGAACTCACAATACCCATTTATGTATATTGTCTTGTCGCTTCAATATGCCATGCCATCTCGCCGCTTAGTCCTTCGACAACTCTTGCACGCCATCGAATGATTGAAGCACAACTCTTATTCTTTAGTAAACCCAAATTCCTATCATATCATCGCGTCGTATTGCCTCACCGTATTCCCTTGGTGGTGGCGTCCGTCATGCCATGCCGGTTTTCTGGAATTGTTATTTCCTTTTCTTTCTTTTTTTCGTTTAAAATCTATTATGAGATTACTACTTTTTCCCCTTATGTTATGTTCTTACTGTTTTATTGTTTTATTGAACCTTTTTCCTGCTAGTTGGAGAAAAATTAGAATTGATTTTAACATTTACATTTGCAATGAGAGCCACACGTTTTTCCTTCCATAAGCATTGCTATGGAAAGACATTACAATGATAACAACAATAAAACTGAAACTGAAACACGCTTACTCTGTCTTTTTTAAATAAAAGTGAGAAAAAAAAGTAACTTTATATAATTAAATCTTAGCCGTTAAAATTTATGCAACACATGTCAATCATCTGAGCATTGAACTTAAAAATTGGATTGATAATTAAATGGAGCAGATACAGACTCTTTTATAACATTATTTGAACAATTAAATGATCAATTTGACTTTTTTTATTTAATTAAAAGATCAAAATAGACTCCAAAATAAAGTTAAAGGACAAAATTGGTATTTTGCCTTAATTTTTTATTATAGAATTTCTTCATCATAATTATTAATTTTTGAATGATAATTCACATATTTTTATAACACTTCATTTACATATTTTAATCTCCTTGAGTTGTCATTAATTATTTTACTTTTTTGTATCAATTATAAATCTCTTTTTTAGTTTGCCTTTTATTTGGCCCATTTCAAGAGTTGGAATTAATACAACAAATGTTTCTTGATCATGTAGTTATGCCATTACAATAACAACCATGCAGGAGATCTCAGAGGACTAAGCAGCTTCCACAAAAACATCATGATCATAAGATGATGCAAGACTTTGCAATAACCCTAAGAAGGTGAATTAGTGCATTATTCTCTATTTTCAGAGACTGAAGCAATTAGTTTCAAGGAGGGTGAGCTCCTGGATTTCTTTGCCATGGAAAAAGGGTAGAAGACGAAGATATATTTGTAAATAACTCTCAGACATGCATAAGTCACAACATTGCCCAAGTACAAATCATTTAAACATTTCAAGTTAAAAATAAATAACAAAAAATAAATAAATAGCAAGGAATGAGCCATTAGACACTAATGTTAACCAGTGCGGGCGTTGAATTATGGATAAGCTACTAACCATGCATGGATTTCTCACTGATACAACAATTTTGTACAAAAATATTGGAGCTTCTCGGTAACCCTATTAGATTACATTATAGGCTCAAATCCTATGTGAATGTCCTACAAAACTGAAGTCGGGCCTTGTGATCCGGAAATTACATGGGAGTGGCGGTTGCATGAATGAATGCTCCTCCAGCATTTGTGATGCTATTTATACACAATTGACCAAAAAGCGGGATATATAGTTCAAATCTTGCACTTTTTGAGCTACAAGTTGTCTTCCAACTCATCAGGGAGATGCAATTTCTCAATGGCAGCCTGTTTGAACAGAATAAGAAGCTTCAGGTGACAAAGGAAAATAAATGAAAAATGACAATAATCAGAAGTTTCAAGTGCTCTAGAGTGATCCTAAATCAAAGTTTATCAAAACAATCAGAGAGCAGAAAATTTAGTGAATTGGGAAATAGCTATTGTAAGCTAATTAATCACCTTAATGGTGGCAGCATCTGTTGCTGATGGTTTCAAATCCAAAGCAATACCATAATGAAACATTGCTCTTTCATTCATGTTACGCCGTCTATAAATATTGCCCATCAAAGCAAAGACACTACTTTCGTAAGGAGCGTACTCTTTAAGCTCCTCTAGGACTTCCAGAGCCTCGTCAAACCTTTCCAGGCCCATTAGTATGTTGGCCTTTTGATACATGGGGAGTAGATTTTTCTTATCTGCTAAAATAGCTTTCTCCATCACAGCCAACCCTTCCTCACTTCTCTGAAAAATCATAGAAAGCATAAGTTCAGCAAGTAAAAGACAAACGCGTCTAGATTGTTCTACCACATTAAGTTCAGCTAGAGATTAACCTTCAAAGAATGCAAAGCAGTTCCTAGGTATGACAATATCACAGAAGATTCTGGGTTGATTCGGTAAGCCATACGGAAATGATGTTCTGAGAACTCAAATTTCTCTTGGCGGAGATATAGCATTCCGAGTCCATACCACGCGTTATAGTGCCTTGCGTCAACCATGAGTGCACTCTGATAGCTCTTAATCCCATTTTCATAATCTTCTTGTGCAACATACCTACAAGTCGCAATGAATTACATGACAGCATGTGGGCAAGTGTATCATAAAGAAAAGGACAAGGTTCTTACTCGTGACCACAAAGGGTGTGTGCATATGCAAATCTTGGATTCAATTGAACAGCTCGTTGAAAATTTTTCAGTGCAGTTTCATGATCTTTCTGCAGGCTGTAGCAATTTCCCATGGCACACCTGCCCAAGCATTTAACAAAATAAGAGACATGGATAAATGTTGAGTTTGAAAAGATCAGTGAAATACAACAAAACTGAATAGGAGAAAAGGATAATTAATATTATCAACAGCATATTTATAGAAAGGCTCCACATGCAGATATATCAAGTTAGCAAAAATTCACACGGGTGTATTATGGAAAATCCTCTACTTCATAGATAGTAGGCACCGATATCTCCGATAAGTGGTAACACAGCCAAAAGCAAGTTTTTTTTATCAAAAACAAGGCAGACGAGATTGGTGAAAATGCACGCTCGCGTGCACATACACATGAGAAGTCAGAAGATGCAGTTTTTTAAAAAAAATTAGAAAAACAAGGAAGGACCATAGTGGGTATTTATAGTCTTCAAGGGAAGCGATTTCAGTCAAATATATATATAAGGTAGTATACCAAATAATAAAAGTTCCATTTGATAAAAAAATAAAATAAAATAGAAAGTTCTATGTGTACCTACCAAGATTGAGGAGCTAACCGATCAGTTGAAATCAGTTCCTGGGCCAGGTAGCTTAGCTTCATATCTTCCTTTAAATGCTGAACCAGAGATAAGTTTTTTGGTCAAGCAATAAATATGCAGGTATGCATGCAAAATTCTAAATTTAAAGTGGGTGCAGGAAGGAAGCTAAAGAAATACAAGGATGTATTGTTAAAAAGTTATAGTTAATATCATTATCAACGTTCAGGCTCTTTTTGTAATTTGTACTAGACAATCGTCAATCAAGGATCCTTTTTTTACATAAATAGTCGTGCGGCATCAAATTAATAGTAGCCTCAAACATATTCCAGAGGAGCAATTTTCGGCAAGCAGCCTTATACAAGGACATTAAAAACATTGTTGATTAAGGCAATACTTTGCTAGTTGCAGCAACCAAAAATGTGAGTCTCAAATGCAACAGAGACAGACAGGTTTACTTTTTATAAAGAAAATGTATGTCAACTCACATAAAGAACTGTTGAGTAAATATCCATCCCTTCCAAACTATATGGTGCAATTTGACGGGCTAGACTAAAGACTCGATCGGCTTCTAAATTATCAACTAACTCATAGTATGCCTTCCCAACCTGTATCAAAACATATTCAAAGTAACATGTCAAGTAATTGGCATAGTGCACTTCTAAGAATCTCCAATACTAGAAACATCAAAGAATCCAGTGGCATATAAAACGAACTAGCTTTTACAACAACAACCAACCAAACTTTCTCACCAATGGAGTAAAATGAATCAAATTAACCAATAACCATTTACCCCACACACACACAATCAATGGCAGTTAAAAAATTCCTCAAAGTAGTGATATAGCATATTATTTCAAAAGATGGGCATTAATCCTTTATTTATATTAATAGATGATACTCGTAATCCAGTAAATATATACAACAAACCAATTCTAATAGAATCTAATTTACCTTAATTATTCTAAGATACAAGTAAGATGTTATGAGATATTTTTCATGAGAGTCAAGCCACTGAAATTACCTGAGAAAGAACCCATCCAGTATTGTAGTGACTCTGTGGAAGTTTCAGATAGGTATCCAGTGCTTCCTACACCATAAACAAATATTAAGAAAACATATGCAATTGAGGACAAGGTATTTTCCTGATTTTGTTTTTCCTTTTTCATATTTCTAATTTAACTTATTTAATAAATAGTTATAGTTATTAGAATTTGGGTTGAGATTAACTCAACCCTATGGGATACCTCCCACTTATAAACCCTTTTTAGGTTATATCTCAGGCATATAGCGAGGTACTCTAAATAATAATAGTTTATATAAATGATATCTAGATTTACTCAACAAATGTTTGATTCATACCTGGCACTTATACAAGCAGGCAAGCCTATAGCCTTCACCAAGAACTCTTAGAAGGGTCAATATTTCTGTTGTACCGGTGATGAATTTAGAATCACTTGTTACTTGCCCGCTAACTTGAAGAGTTGTTGCATCTTGTTCATAAGATTTTGCCTCAGTGGCAGCAGATGAACAAGAAGTTGTTGATGCAATATTTAAACGAGCAACATCCAAAACATCATTATGAATCCCTAAAATAAAGGAATGTGAATCATTATTTGAAATAAACGAAATTTTAGACAGCAACTACCTTAAGATAGAATATCCGTAAATCACAATTGGAAAAGGAAACAAAAACAATTCAGCTAATTAGAGTTCAACATATTAGGTTGGCACGTGGCCACAAATTTATAGTTCAATCTGGCATCACCAAATTATATCAACGGATATCAAAGGCATCAGCACAGTCATCAATGATTTGAATTTGCTTCACTAGTATGTGAACAAAGCAATTTGTCATCTGGGAAGCAACTCGCTAAATTGAATGAATGGCTTAATTAACATTACACCAATACTACTTAAGAAGGCATTTGCAAATACAGGAATTAAATTTATATAATAAGTAGTCAGATATATAACAATTATCACCTCCATCAATGTTTTCATTGGCCCATGACTGCCCCTTTCGAATTGTCATGGTACGAAATGTCACAGGGGCAGGCTTTGACCCTCCTTTATGAGAGTTACTGGTTACGTTTCCAGATACAACTGTTGCATTAGCATTTGAACTTACACTTGCTTCACTAGAGAGTCTTGAACTACGTCGAGGACCAGAATCAGAAAATAACCTACCCGAAATCTGGCACAATAAATATACATATTTAGAGGGGAAAACGGAATGATAAAATGAGAGAATATTTTTTGTGAATTTAATTGTCGAGAAAAATGAGAGAATATAACATCATACAGTCTTTACACTATAACTCCAAGCATAAAGCCAAAAGTACATATCATCTCAATCATGCCAAAAACAGTTAAAATACATAAAAATAAATGGTCAATTGATTAATATTATAGTATGGAAAATACACTTAAAAGCTCAACTTACAATGCATGCACTATAAATGCTTCAGAGTAAATTAAAATCTAGAAAGACCAGAGTAGAAAATAAATTACAGTTGACTGAGATGTGAAGGAGATATTGAAAACTAATTCACAACCATCTAAATGAGAAAGAATGTTGACATGAGTTGAAAAAGTAAATACAGATGTCATTAAGTCGTGATTAGATGGAAACAAAATTGATGTACAATAATGCTGTCTTAAAGTGTGACATTCCTATAACAAAAGGGAATTCTTGTTCAGAGCTTGATTTAAGATTGTCAGTTTTGACATTAACAATAATGCATCACTATGTTAGTAACAGACCTCCAATCACGAGGACCTAAAGCTTAAAATACAGTTAGGCTTGGGGCAGAAGATATGTTATTAGTGGGCAGTTTTATTTATTTATTAGTAACTGCTGTATTTTTAGTAACTGCTGTAGGAAGTGTTAACAGGAGTATTTAATAAATTAAGATTTTGAGGTAATAGGAGGGGCACTCGGTTATTATTGGGATTAGTAGGTTATAAGAGATTAGGCTCTTGAATTCCTAGGGAACTCTTATTTGTTTTCATCATTCTCTTTATAAATATATTGCAAAGAGAATTAGAATATGCAGTGTATAAATTGTTTATCCAACCGAATTTATCACACTACTGCCAAAAGAAAAATGTATCAAACATTGCTATGGTGATCTTCAGATTTAGCCGCGTGATTAAATCAATGTCCATTACATATAAAACGCCTCATATATTGATGTATTTATTTATTAATGCAAATGGAGGCAGAACATTTGAACCAACCTTTCGTAATTTTCCTTCACCCACAAACTTTCTTCGAGGGGCTTGAATAATAGGGTTAACTGTTGACTTAGAATTGTCAGAATTAAGTGTGCTCAGATTTAGGCCATTTGGCATCACATTCCTACACAAAGGGGGTGGAGCAACAGCTGACAACTGCAAAAGAGGACAGTGTAACATGTTATTTGTTCAGGAAATAAATTGAACATCAAATACAAATCTACATGAACAAGGAGCCTGCATTCTCATTTGAAGAAAAATAAGACAGCTTTGCATTTATTTGAGTCCTGCTGATCATAATCAAATTTGTGGAAACTATAACTTGACATAGTTTAGCTTTCCAAAATTGTTTTAATAAACATCAATAGGCTTACAAAAAACAAAACTACAAGCAGTTACCTGTGTGGCCATTGGAGACGGGGTGTTATAAAATGACATGTTAGATGAACTGCTACTGGTGAGTTGACCAGCAGTTCCCCCTGTTATAGATGATCCGTGAGGGTTTACAGCAATATCCTTTAGACCTTGTGCGTGTCTTAGTTTCCTTGGACTCACGTCTTCGGAGACACTCTGTCCAATTGCATTAACATTACAATTTTCATCTGACAAATTTGGGGAGGTTGCGCAATTTATATATTGCTTTTGTAGGCAAAATGAAGCTGCTTCACCAAAAACTACAGTAGCTTCTTCAGCAGCACCTAAATTAACAGGAAACAGTACAGTCTGAATATTAAAAAAAATATATATATATATTATTAAAAAATTAAAAAAATAATAATAATAATTAATAATTAGAGTAGAAGTTGAATTTGTGATTCTGTCTAAATCAGACTACATTCACCTCTATTTATAGTAGCATATAGGATATATACAGTAAATACTAATTGATATCATTTGACAATTCTAATCTAAATACTCCCTCCGCCCCACAATGAGTGACCCATTTAGAATAAAAGAGTGTCCCAAAATGAATGACCCATTTCAATTTTCAATGCATATTTTTCAATTTTACCCTTTAATTAATATTACTTTCATCATTCCCAATACATGATAAGGGTACATTAGTAAAAATATCGTTCTCTCTCTTCATTTATTCCTTTTTTTTAATCTGTGTGAAATAGTCAACCGGGTCACTCATTGTGGGACGGAGGGAGTAATAAATATTAAGATTTGATTTCTCTTCTAACACTGCCTCCCAAGCTAAATCTTATTAAGTTTACACTTGTTACAAAGGGTGGATGTATTGTAGAGAAAATAGAAACTTCAGAACTGTAGCCAAAAAAGTGTAGAGCGACCAGAGGTGATTGTAGCAAAGACAAATGTGCTCATCAGAGAATTCTGAAGGTGGTTATGTTGGTTTTCAGGAATGAGTTTCACAAGAGAAGGCATAACTGGTTGAATCATAGCTGGATGCTGAGAAAAAAAACACTAATGGGAAAAAGAAGCAGTGGACGAAGCACAGTAGAGGTGAACAACATGACAGAAGCAGGACAAAAATGATAACCAGAGGTGATTGCAGCAAAGACAATTGTGCTCGTCTGAGAATTCTGAAGGAGGTAATGTTGGTTTTCAGGAATGAGTCTCACAAGAGAAGGCTTGGTTGGATTAGCTGGATACGGAGAAATAGACACTAATAGAAAAAGAAGCACTGGATGAAGCACAGTGGAAGTGAGCAACATGATAGAAGCAGGACAAAAATGACAACCAGTTGAGAATGGACGACGGCAGAAGAAATTCTGAACACGGCAGATAATTTGAAGACATGTCAAAAGAATGACACGGCTGTGAAGAATTGGCTGACATGTGGCTGCATTGATGACGGTGTAGTTCAGGTGGCTGGACTGGTGACATAAGTATGATTATGGTGGTGCCGGCTGTGACTGAAGATACATGCTGGAGAAGGGTCCACAGGAGAGAAGATGTCTCATTGGAAAACAAAAAAAAAAAGGGGAAAGGATTGTTGAGAAGAAATAATACTGTTTAGGAGGCTCATAAAACCAAGATACAAAAGTGCTGGAAAATATAGAAACAAGCCGGAATACTTTTTCGGTGACGGCAACTTGCCGCCAGCAATTGCGTGACACCCCTCTTAGTCACATGATCAGAGCATACATGCTCTGATACCATGTTGAATTTGTGATTTTTTCAAAATCAGACTTCACTTATCTCTATTTATAATAGTATATAGAACAAATACAATACATACTAATTGACATAGTTTGTAATTCTAATCCTAATAATAAATATTAAGATTTGATTCTTTGATTCTTTGATTCAAACAATACTAATAATAATAATGAAAACAATATAATGCATGAAAGTAAAGAATATCACTTAGATAACTAGATGTGTTTTTAAAATACTAAACAAGCATCTAATAACACCTAGTGTCTAAGTCTAGATTCAAACTACTTTCCTGGAAAATTTCTGCTTGTATTATCGATTCCAATATTTATGGCATGTTTAGATTAGCGGTGGAAAAATAGTGGACGTGCGTTTGGACCAGAAGCTACACTTTGTAGCTTCTCTTTTTCATGGTGGAACAGTCCTCAAACGTGCGATTGACTTTGCAAATGCGTATCCAAACACACTCTTAGTGGAACAATAGGAAATTTGGTGGTTCTGATTTCTTCTCCCGTCTAATATCAGGTACGGGCAAACAACAGTAAACTCGCGACTGATACTTAGTCGCCGAAACAAAAGGTTTAAACCGTTTTTTGCATTATGTTAATACACCCTACAAAGTTTAATATGTTTGCTTTGCTCTAAGCAGTTTACTTATTTGATCAAAGCTAAAAATAACCATGTGACCTAGTCCAAAAGGGAAATACAGAACTCTAAGCAGCCCTCTAAACTACAAAATTTCCCCAATAGGTTAATCAGATATGCACAACGAGCTTTGGGGATCAAGTTTGTTTCACAGACCTAATATGCACAACTCCTCATATGCAGCCCACATTAGAGGATCCATTGATAGTGCCTGTTTAAAATGATTAATGGCATTTTTCTTTCTGTCAGTGTACCTGGAAAGGCAGAATAGTAATTAAATGGAGTGTAGAAGGGTGAACATCATATGAAAATAGCATTAAGAAAAGTACAAGTTAGAGCAAGAAAAATATATAAAAATAATTCAAAGAAAATCAGTCCTAAGAAGGCAAGAACACAAGGACCAAATCTTCGCATTATATAAAGCACAATACCGAAAACTATCAACACCAAATAATAATCAAACTTATCAGGAAGGGATGCAGATGAATACATAAGGGATTCAAAAAGAGACTATCTACAATTCATAATGTTAAGCAACTACAACAATCGAAGTAATTTTTAGTTTTTAAGCTTAGGCTGCGTAGCATCAATATATTGTATACAAGCATGTATGATGTGATTTAGCCAGGCTATATCACTAAATTAACAAAGAAAATTCAAAGGGATTTTTAGTAGGATAATAAGAAGACTGAAACCTGTAAACCTGCCCTAATAGATAATGACCAGGTGCGCCATTTGGAACCTACAAAGGAAAAAAAATAAACAAAATCAAGTTATTGACCTCGTCCCACAATGCACCAACAAATTATAACAAAAAAAGAACTTGCACCGACAAATTATAACAAAAAAAAAACCTAACATGTGGGCATGTTATGGGACCCGAAAGTCCAATAACCCTCACATACTTGGAAGGTAAAAATGTACTCCATAAGGGGGCGCAGTATGATAGATATGTAGCTCGTGTGTATTTAATTGTGCAGGAGAATCATCTACCAACTATGTATCAAATTACGTATGACATTGACAATTAGCATAAGTCAGAAAATAAAAGTAATGTATTCCAAATATATGGTGTAATTGTAAAGTATGGCGTTAGGAGAGATTATGGTGTGTGCTTGGTAATTAAGATTTGGATACACTTCGTTCACGGCAGGAGCTTCGCAGCTCTGCTACAGCATCCTTGCTGTAGTTTGTGTAAAATTTTGTGTTTAAGTGAATAACTAATAGCAAACTGAACAATAAAATGAAACATTAAAAAAATAAAAGGAACAAGATTGTTTGGGAAACAAAACATTGTCACCTACATAATTCTTTATAAATTAAAATCATTAATAAATTAATAATAGGGTCAAAATCATCAATTTAAAGTACATAATTGAACTATGAATTTGTACCTCTGCACCAGATTCGTTAGCAGGGCACAATGCTGCTTCAGCTTCGCTAAGAAGATCCAAATGAAAGCATGACATCGCAAACAAGTACCGGGATTGAGGCATTTTTGTTCCTTCAAACAATAGAGAAAAAAAAATTATGACAAATAATAAGAGCACACTTAAAAAACAATAGCAAACAAAGGAAAGAAAGCATTTCATTGAAAGTTAATTAAAGAAGCATAAAAGGAACAGTTATATCGGACAATAATAGCAACTAATGTTGTCTCGTGGCAGCATGACGAGGCAGGTTTGAGGCAAAATGCAATTTAGAGGGCATTGTGTGGTTGATTTTACATGGAAGGTGGCAGGCATCTCAATGATGGCAGAAGAAATAGGACTAAAATCAAGATCAATTTTGCAAGAGAGTGGGTGCACACAGGCTTAATCTATTTTAAATACAAGAACATAATGTGCACCAAGCTTACTGGTACATATCTCTTTCATCTCTTACTTGCACATATCCAGTGACCATAGTTTTCTTAACCATGTCCTGTCTGTGGCTAACTGCACTATCCTTTACTCTTTTTTGGTACCGTATTTCCCTATTTTTTTGGTCTCTCAATTCGCCCCTCCTGATTTAGTTCTGTACTCCTCTCTATCTCTTTCTCTCAGTTCTTCTCTTTTGTAAATTGTAACACTTGTTCAGTGGTCCCCTCTTCTTGAATTGGAAGAGTTGTCTCTTGAAGAAGAGTAACTAAAAGCAATGCTAATTTAGATGAGAGGAATGGGAGAGATAAAATTATTCCAAATAGCCTCAAAAGACGAATAGAGAGAAATAATGATGCTTTCTGTAACATGTTCATGGCAGAATAGTTTTTAACAGGATGTAGCAATAACATATCTTGAATTTTTATGAGTTCCCTCGTATCAAGTTATAGTTAGTTGTATCCTGCCAATGTCGTATTAAGTATCTGGACTTCATAGCTTGCCCCAGCCCCAATGCACCGCCGCACGTTAGTAATAATCATTAATATTATTATGAATCAGAATGCAACTCCAAATTTAATCAAGAAATTAACAGCTAACTATTCTGAGAAACGTACCCTTTAAAATATGGTATGCAGAATAAGCTTGATTACTCTGCAAGTAACAGGCAGCTAATAATTGCAAATTTGTCTGCACAAACCAAAAATAATTACCAAACACTAGCTTAGAGTGTGCAAAAAAAGTACTTCAGCAAATAATATGGACTTTATATATACATCAATAAAGGGCCAGGACAAATTCCACAAACTAGAATTAATTAATAATTGAACAGCGCTACAAAGATAAAAAAAAAAAACTCTCCAATAAGCACATTGAACTGCTAAAATTATTGATTAATAATTATATTCAATATTATACATTACAAGTGAAACTCAAACTTATAGTTAATATTACACATTCAAGTGAAACTCACGTTTATAATTAATATTATACATTACAAGTGAAACTCACACTTGATATGCTACCAGATTCTCTATACTACTGCTGTATATATTCAAGTATTCGTTGCAGTCAACAAATCAGAAAGACTAACACTCGTACTGCGGTAAATCGGATTCAAAACAAGAACTTGAAGTATAAGTCATTTGATCTCAATTCAATTTAACTGTTCCAGATTGCTGACGGAAGCAAATCTTTGAATATACGCCAACAAGGAATCTGGATTCCACTTGATCAGGCATTTTAAAATTCTGATCTCCAATTTATATACCTAGTTCACATTTTAGCTAACAGATCCGACCTATTAATATGGGGTTCCAATACGTTCTCAGGCAACAAAACTAATAGCACAAAATATCCTCCAATCCTTAACCTAAAAAATCTGCAATAAAATATCTTCATGTATTACCAAACAATCTTTTACAAGCATACCAAAATTTCTGGAACCGGCTACAAACAATATTGTCAAATAGCAGCCAACGCTATAGCATTGCAGAATTTTCACAAACCGCTATAGTTTGGGTTACGCGATTAAAGTACAATGTGTTGTCAAATAGCTACTACAGTAGTGCTACTGCAGCGCGGCGAAATTTAAACAAACCAATATCTTATGCAATCCGCCAGTGAAAACAGTGGCTGTAGAAACAAACAACCAATATCTCTCAAAAGCACATAAACAAACCCCTTTCAGTTTTACTCCTCAAGCAACTTCAAATATCAAAAGAAAGGGAGGGAAAATCACCATCTACCGTTTTCCATCATAACTTCACAGTTCACATCAGTTTTGTCAGGAGCGAATGGCAGACAATAACCATTTTTTAAATTCTACCATTAAAAAGTGATACGGTGCCGCTACAGCCACTATTTGACTACATTTTATACTTAAATAGTGCATAGTAAAACAATAATCATCCATTGTTCAAATTCTACTACACTACAATCCCTCTATTTAAGGCTACTTTACAAACAAACATAGGTAAACATGAATATACAAAAAATTAAATCTAAAGAAAAATTCAAATCCCAATTTAACCACAATATATTAAAATAAAGCTAAAATAAAGCTAAAATAAAACCGAATCCAAATCTATTAAACGCTACCAACACTCTAACCTCAATCTAGAAACTTCCGCAAATTAATTGAGTCAAACAGGTTCTTAATTCTTATAACCTAACAAGAAACAACCGATCTCGATGCACAGTAACGTAACAAACTAGCACACTAAGAAGCAAAAACAAAACAAGACAAAACAAAAAACGAAGTTCATTGAGCTCGTACAGTACAGAAACTGAATTGAATTTTCAATTAGGTTTTGGGAATGAACAAAAAAAAAAGTAGCGGAGTGAGAGTGAAGAAGAACCTCGGAGGGGAACTGAGCGCAGAGACGTTGCGAGATGAAGATAGCGTTGGAGTGCATGAAGTGATGCAGACTTTTCTGAACGGAATCAATGAGAATCGATTCCATGGTGTTATTTAGCTACCAAAAGTTGGTTTTTCGGTTTTCGAATTTTGAAGAAAGAGAGGAAGAGGGAGAAGAAGGGGAAGAACTGAACTCAAAATCGAAACACACTAGTTGGGGTTTTTTTGGGTTTCTCGATTTTTTTATTTTTTTTATTTTTTTTTATGTTGGAATTGGTTCAAATCAGGGTGGCACGTGATCTAATCCTGTTTTTCAAATTCGGTCACATGACTAGGGTCTGGAACATGTGAAAATCCCGTTGGTGGAAAAAACTATCTGAAAGATTGAGATTTTAAATGATTTTTTTGATTTTTTTTTTAAGATATTAAATGATTTTTTTTATTTTTTTTTAGATTTTAAATGATTTTTTTGATTTTTTTTAAAGATTTTTTTATTATTTAAATTTTAAAGAAATTAAAAATATATCTATTTACGATATAGATATTTTAGTTTGATTTCAAATGATTTATAACACATATTAAATTATTTAAATTTATATAGCACAGATTGAAACATTATGATAGATTTTTTTTTAAAGAATTTTTTAAAGATTTGACTGAATCTGTTAGTAAATGTATTGTTAACTAAAAAAATCATTTTTCAAGAGAATCCAACAAAGTCTCTATATTTTTAAATTTTAAATGAATTATAAGTTCTAACAATGTCATAAAAAAAAAAGTTGTTGTCTTAATTAAATGTTGCAAAATTTTTTAAATTTTATAAAAAAAAATTAAAAACTCTTTTAAATCTCTATCAAATATACTCATTACTAATGACTTAATTAAGTGTCCACCGAAAATGATGTTGTTAGGAAAAGGGTGATGATAGTGCCGAAATTGTAGTAAAAGAATCTAGAGAAAATAAATGTAGTTCATGGTGATTGGTTGGTGGTGCAGAGGGGAAAAAAACACAACAAAAGAGCTAATTATGGTCAAAGAAATTCTTTATCCAATAATGCGCATTCAGGAGCTCTAAAATCAAGGGGATTGATGTTTCCTTAAACGGAATAAGCGCCGACAGCAAAACCATTAGACTCAATCAACTTGGCGCGGATTCCAAGAAAGGACGGCTTAAAAAGAGTGGATCAGCCCCAAAACGCGTCGGCTAACATACAGAGGGGACTCATGCGTCAAGGCCAAGTCTGCCATCTTGGAACCACATTTTGCCATAAGTGGTTCTTCGCACAAAATTATGCCAACTTTTAATTCCTACTCAACACAAAAGGTTGTGCATAACACTGTTGAATACACATATATCCTTCCTAAAGTAAATTTGGATTTGGAAACCACCACACGATACATCATTCTGCATTTTGAACATATGACAAGTCAGGCAGATGAAAATAACCAATGCGCAATGGATGAGGGTGTTACTCAATAAGAGAAAGTTGTTCGTGAAACTCCTATTGAATGGGAGTTAGCTATATAAACTGTCTTGTGCCCGAGACTTGCTTTATCACCTCCATCAACTTGAGTAGTTATGTTAGGTTTCAAAAAAGAGTCATGGTGCCCTCCTGAAATATATGGGGAGCCTCTAATAATAATGCTAAAAGACATATGACGGAATTGATTAGAACACATTCTCCAATGCTTTTAGTCATTATGGAAACACACATTAGTTTTCATAAGACCAAATCCTTCTAGGATAAAGTTGGATATATGAATGTGCATTATGTGAATGTGTGTGGTCAACCCGGGGACATTTGGGTATTAAAGCATAATGGTAGTAACATTGCAATTGTCGTGCATTATGTCTCTATGGAGACAATTACTATCAACTTATCATTGGGAACGTCCTCTTGGTATGTAACTGGAATTTATGCTAGTCTTGTGTACACTTATCATCTTGGCATGTGGCTCCACCTCATTGACTGGAGGAACATTGTTGATGGTCCTTGGATGCTGATTAGAGAGTTTAATAACATCATTCATCCAAGTGAACAAAAAAAGAGGTAATTTTAATCATTATATGACATCTACTTTGTTGAATTTCATTGATAAATGTAATTTAGTTTAAGTAGACATTACTGGTGAGAAATTCACTTGGAATAGGCCTTGTACTAGTAATTGAATGGTTTATCACAAGCTGGATAGGGCACTAATTGACTTTGCTTGGCGCATGGCTTTCCCTTATGGATATGTTGAGGTGTTATGTAAATTTCACTCTGATCACAACCCCATTTTCCTTAGGTGTGACATTCCCTTCCAAGACCATTGGCCATGTCCTTTTAGGTTTAAGGCAACTTGGATCACTCACCCAGAATACTCCAATATAATCTAAATTGCTTAGGGGAAATCCTTAGATGACATTGTAACTTGTCTCCAAAATATGTAGTACAATTCTATATATTTTAATAAGAAACACAGGGGTATCCAACACTCTTTGGAGAGAATAAATTCGGAAAGACTAGTTTATCTCCAACAAGAGCTTCAACAAGAGTATGATGAAATCCTTGCACATGAGGAGATTCATTGGTATCAAAAGGCTAGAGATTATTGGATTAAATTGGAAGATCATAAAACCAAAAATTTTCATACCAAGACAATAATCATGTGGAAGTTAAATAAAATCCATGGCCTTCACTTTCCTAGCAGTGTTTGGTAGAATGATGACATTCTACTCAGAGAAGGAGCAATGGCTTTTTTTAAATGTTTTTTTTGCCCTGCATCTTCTATACTCCCTGGTAGTATGGATGGCTCAACAGTGGCTCATATCCTCACTAAATAAGCCCAACACTTTTTGACTTGACAAGTGATGAGGGAAGAAGTTACTTGTGCACTGAATCAAACACACCCTTTTAAGGCGCCTGGGAACAATAGATTCAATGATATTTTCTTTAAATAGTTTTGGCATATAGTTAGAGATGGTGTTGTCTAACTTATACTAGATGCTTTTGTGATAGGTAGATTTCACTTCTTTCATTCTGAGACTCGTATCACATTAATTCCTAAGGTAGACTGCACCCCTCCCCCCAAAAAAAAATTAAGGAATGCAATCTCATTAGCTTGTGCAACACTATTTACAAGCTTATTACGAAGATTATGGTTAACAAATTGTGTCATTATCCTCCAAGAAGAAATTCATTCTATGAGTAGATCTAAAAAAAAGCTGGCATGGTGTTCAAAATAGATCTTGAAAAGACTTATGAACATATTAATTAGGATTATTTAGAATTCTGTTTGAAGCAAAATAAGTTTCCTCTTATTACTATAAAGATGATCATGTATTGTGCAATTATCTTCTCTATGTCTATTCTTTGAAATGGGAGACTGTGAGGGCAAATTCTCATATACCATAAGTACTTGTGTTTCGATGATGTCAAAACGTAATCATGAAAGAATCGAGTTTTCGGCTCTACCACCACAAGGCAAAATGCATATCACACTTCTCATATCTCTCTTGTGTGCATGTCATGTCTAGCAAACTTGCCATATGGAGTCCAATGTATTTGGTAGATCATTGGTTATGTCTAGAAGCATAGAATTCACAAAAATAAGCATTTTTGCAAAATTACAAGTTTTGAGTCGACCAGAGGTTGACGTATGGTCAACGCATGGAAAAGGTTGAATTCCCACGGGTCGGCGCACACTGACTTATGGTCGACGCATGCTGTTAAGATTTTGAATCTGTCTAAAACTGCAGGTTATGCGTCGATGCATAGTCCTGCTATGGTCGACCGCTCGCTGCTTTTTTTTGCATACGTTGAAGACTTTCACTTAGTTTGAAAAGTTGTTATGTCTGTTGGTTTTTGAGTTACTATAAATAGAAGTTTGGTTAATTTCTTCAACAACAATTGAAACATTAAGTCAATTGCAAGAGAACAAGAAAAGTGAAATAGGTTCCCTAGTTTTCATCATCTTCATCCTCAACATTTCACAACATAACAATTCTTGTTGTGCATTGTGGTTTGTTCAAGATGATAACGTTCGAAGCCGTCGATTAGGGAATCCGGTACGGGTTGAGTTTGGGGCAGGTTTTTCTTGAATAAAACCTTGAAGGTTTTGTCCTCCAAGATTCATCGAATTTGGGGGTTTTTTTGGTACGAATCGTCTCTACAACATTTAGCTGAGCGAAGGTGATTGAGGAACGGTGGGTTCAGTTTGTAACACCCCACTTCCCAAATTGAATAAAATATAAACATTATAAATAAACATCGGAGTTTTCACCAAAACAGTGGGATATCACATCACAAAATTCTCCAAAATACTTTATTGATCATTTTTCAAAATAAAGCAGCGGAATAATCTTTAATTCATCATCCTTGGCCATCCGCCAATTACACAAAACATTTATTAAAAAGTTTTCACCAAAATATGATACGTCACAGGATTTCAACAAGTTCGACATAAAAACATTAAAACACCCATGTCCCGTGCTACGTATCAGAGCATCCTAAGACTCGACTCACACACTTCATATCCAAGCTAGCTAAGTACCTGGATTATCTGTACTTTCAAGGAAGCAAAGACCACAACAACAACAAAGGGGTGAGAAAACATGATCAAAATTATCGGTAATATAATACATGAAATAAAGGTAGTAAATACACCAATCATATAATTCATCACCCAACATTCATCAATCACCAAGAGTCGGTTGATCAAGGATGAATCCTTTCATGATACAAATTCTGAGGCAAGTCATCTCGAGGTCGTCTCATGGCAAGTTACCATCTTTTTAAGATGAACTTTCCCAAAGATCATACTAGGGCAAGTTTGAACTACACTGGGGCAAGTTACTCAAGCAAGTTCATTTTCGTCAGCAACTGTTGAGTTCAAGACGAGTGTTGGGGAGTCGTACCTTCACCTTCCTACCCAAAGTCCAATCTGCATTGGCAACTACCAAAAGTCCACCACGTTGGCATCTGCATTTCCAATCACCTGTTTGCAATCATATGAATCATACGCACCGCGTTCAACTTCATAAGCATGTTGTATCATATACCCAGAATCATATCATATCTCCCTAGCTCTTACATCTCCGTGTTTTAGCATTTGCATTTGCAT